CGCCCGACTAGGACCCTCGAACCCCCCCCCCCCCGTTTGCAACATGAACCCCCCCCCCCTGTTCAACGTCGCGTACCCCCCCCCCTTGATCACCCGAACCAATCAGAGGTACATCCACAACCCCATGCTGATCGACGGGCGCAAGTTCGACCTTCGGCTGTACGTGTTGGTGACGAGCATGGAGCCGTTGCGGGTGTACCTCTTCGAGGAGGGGCTGGTTCGGTTCTCGACGAAGCCGTACAGCCTCAGGAACCTCCGCTCGCGCTTCACCCACCTCACCAACTACTCCATCAACAAGAAGTCCGGGTCTTTCCAGGTGTGCACGGTTTTTTTCCGCCTGCCGGTTTCGCTCCTCCAGTCAGAGTGAAAGTACGGCAACTATCACGTGGTTGCTGGTGTTTTCCAAGCGAGTAATAGCACGGTAATTATGATGTGATTGGTGAGGTACTATGCGATTGGTTTTGGTTTCTATACTTGGCCGTATGCTGTCCATTTTTCTTGTTTCGTTTGACAGTTTTGCAGCAACCAACTTGCTATTCCGGGAGTTGGTGATGCTCCCCTTCGCGGTCGTTGCTATGGGAACCGGACTCTGGACCCTTGTCTTGTCATGAACGCGCTGCTATTGTGTCCAATGAATGAGCTACGGGTGCACAATCCATTCCAAGGTTGCTGTTTCGTTTGTAGATGCGAGACGTTTTGGCTGTAGTCCTGAACCTTGTTTGACGGCCCCCGGAAAAGAACGCTTGCTATGCGTAGAAACATGCACAAGCGCCCGAGAGCTCTTGTTGAATTCAACCTCGTCTTGAAGGGGGCAGCAAACAGACGCACACTCACGCTTGATCTCTGGTATGATGGGTGACACCGTGCTTGCAGAGAGCTATCTGAAAGTGGACAGACAGCAGCAAATCGAAACGAGTGGCGATCCCTCATTTCAAGACTATTTTTGCCCTCTCGGTATTTGTGCTGTCTTGATGGCTTCGGGAAACATGCTAAACATGAAAACTAGAGTGACTTCAACTACTTGATTCTTCGTGCGGGTCGCGCCTGTGAATCGCTCCGATTTCACCCCTCCCCGTTGCGAAAAATACAAACAATAAATCCTGTTTAGGGGCCGGACAATTCCGACGGGCAAGAAGCGAAGGAGTCCACAACGGCGAGCAAGTGGGCCCTGACGTTCTTCTGGAAATACCTCGAGAAGGCTCTGGGCATGAAAAAGTCCGACGAGGTTTGACATGCACTTTGCCTGCCTTGCCGATACACGGTGCTAGTTTGTGTTGGTTGTCAAAAAAATATCGACGTTTTTTGCCACGGAGGGAGATCGTACACATACACCTCGCGACACTGTTCCTTCAATGTGTTCGTTTACCACGATCGCCATGAATATTCAGAAATGTACAAGAGGGGATTAATGTCGTGGCGTGGCAGGCGTTTGCCCCACCGCCCCCTATGCCGCAGCTGTAGAGATATTCACTTTCAAGAACAGCGGTTATTTGACCGAATAGCCATCAATCATATGCAAGAAGAAAGTTGCAACGCAATCAGCCCAACACCATTTCTCTTGCGCTTGAAATGGAATCCCTGCATTCTCGTTGATCGTGTGCATACAATGAAATGCCGGCTGATCGTATTCATACACTGAATACCCCTCGCATTGATATCATGCATGGACTTTTATACTCCATATGCACACCCATTAATCTTGAGCGTGCAATATAGTCTCATTCTCTAATCATTGATGTTATGCAGTGAATGAAATTCCCCAATCATGGATCATATGCCTTTTGGTGAAGTTCCACATACTCATTATTTTGATGCATACACGAGATGCCCCATTCGCCTTGACCTGATTCTTACAATTTTGCGCCCTAAACTCATTGATCGTATGAATCCAATGAAATCTCCCCGCCCTCAATTGATCTCATACACACACTGAAATACCCAATACTCAATTGATGTTATGCTGTGAATTATGTTACCCGATTCGTTGATGTTATGCAGTCAATGAAGATCCCCCAGTCATGGATTCATGCAATATTGTGAAATTCCACATGGTCATCGTTCTAATACTACAATGAAATTTCCCATTCGCATTGATGTGATGCTTACATTTCAATGCTCTGAGCTCATCGATCTTATGAACCCCATGAAATCTCCTGGCCCTCAAATGATCTCATGGAGTCAATGAAATACCCAGTACTCAATTGATCTTACGGATTTAATTTGTTCCGCTACTAGGCATTGGTCTTTTGGGGCAATCAAGCACCCCCGTACTAATCGATCCCCCCCTCTCGGTGTTTGCCATCGGGGCTGGGTTTTCGTCGCGTGGCAACGACATTGTAAAACGGTGTTTGCCATCAGGGTTGGGCTTTCGCCGCATAGCAATGAAGTTGTACAACAAGCCGATCTATTCGTGAGCTCGACAACCAGGTTACCGCTTTTTTGTTGCCTTCGGTTTTTAATTGGAAACCATGAATGCTGGTCGAGCAGATAATGTTGTGCGGGGTCAAAAACCCTCACTCCGCGCAAAGGGGGTAATCGCACCACGTTGTGTTAAGATGGTCAAGCACCCTCGAGGCAGTTACACAATGCTTATTACTGTCTCTGGAAAGTGAAAGCACCAGAAAAGATATAAAGTCATACGCAGCTGTCATCCGTACGCAAGGGAGTAAGCACAAGATGCCGAAAACCCTTAGCAGGATGCAGCGCACCCTTCATGCGACTCGCCGAATATCTCACGGCGCTTCGCGCTTGGTGATGTGAGAGCCTGGTCCGGTGAGAACCCGGCGTGCTCCGTCTCGGCTTTGTAGGGATGCGAGGTCAATGGTCTAACGACTACGGCAGACACGACTATGAGTACACCCCCCCTACATACTAATCGATCTCACATTCGATACAATTTAGCCCCCCCGCAGTCATTGATCTTATACTTCATCGATCTTTTGCAAGAATGGAATACGACATACTCGATACTGATTGATTTCCTGCATACAATGAAATTTTCTCATTGGTCATATGCTACCAAGTTTCCTCATAACCGTTGATCTTTTTCAAACAATGAATATATTTTAGTATTCGTGAAGATTGTTCACTAACGTTGATTGAGTCCGAACACGTTCATATATGTATCTATTCCGCTCCGGGGACTGACGACCCATGCAGCCGACAAGCCGATTGACGATAGCAAGGTCCTCTATCATCAAGAATGACATTCACAAAATGTGCACAAAAGATGCAATTCATGCACATCTTGAAACAGTATACAAGTACAACTGCGTGAGAATGAAAAATGTTCCTCATCTCCGTCTCTCTCTCTCTCTCTCTCTCTCTCTCTCTCTCTCTCTGTACCTCTGGGGTCATGGGACGACGTCGCGTCAGGTTCAGCGGTCGATAGAGGATGTGGTGCTGCGAACGATGCTGGCCGCCGACGGTGACATGACGACCCACTCGCACCAGTTTACTCGGCATCGGGGGTGCTGCTATGAGCTCTTCGGCTTCGACGTGCTCCTCGATGAGGCCCTTAAGCCGTGGCTGCTCGAGGTCAACATCTCCCCAAGGTAGGGTTGTGCAGAGGGGTACCGGCGGGGGGTAGATGGAGGGGCCCTGCTGTTGGACATTGTCAGTGTTCTAAGTTTTCCCATTGTACACGGCCTCCTTCACATATGATAATACGACGACGTGGTTCATGCACGCCTCCGTTCGCGAACGTGTTTTGGGCTCGTGTGACCGGAACCTTGACCTTGATTAGTTTTTCCTGCATCGCCGGCGTGCGGAGCTCGTACGCAGCATCGCCTTGCTGCCCCACGCCAGTCTTCGTCGTGCACGGCTTCTATGTTGCTTTCCCTCCAGCCCAAAGCACTTGGCGTTCTTCCGCCACGATATATTTTCTTTTGCGCGTTTCCTTTTCTGGGGTAATTTCAATGCCATCGCCCCTTCCGGCCGCGTCCTTGTCGGCGCAGTCTGTTTGGGTCCAGCGCGCTCGACCGGCGGATCAAGGGCACGCTCATGGCCGACATCTTCCACCTCGTCGGCTTCCGTCCGTTCGACCGCATGGCCCTGAGGAGAGAGGAGCGAAGGGAGGCCAAGCACATCCCGGGCACGAGGCGAGCTGTCCGAGCCGTGGCGGGCAGGCCACAGGTTCGTGCTGACGCGCGCACATGTTTGTCGCCACCGCCGCCGGAGACCCCACTTGCAGAAACCCCGAATCTGCAAGCATGAGGTTTCCCTTGAGGCGGACGTCGCGACGTGGGGTGCTAGTCTACGCGCTGTAGCCTGTAGGGCTAGTCAGGATTATTGGGATTGCTTCATGGCCCGTGGGGGGGTCGAAAAGCGTAGCGAGGGGACGTACGTTCCATGTCCAACCATTAGATGTTAGCTGCCCCATCGAGATGTTGCGGGGATGCGCCGGCCGTAGGCAAGGGTGGGATTCGGGCTTGCCGACGTACACCGAGTGGGTCCTGGTGTCTCGTTGCACTTGTAGTCGCTTGCTGGAGTCGAACCATGTCTTGTATGGTTGCTACGCCCACTCGTCGTGCGTTCAAATCGTTCCTTTACGCTACTTTTTCCTTGCTCGGCAGTAGGTGACCATATCCTCCCGTGCTTTTTTATCACGTTGGTTCAGCAGCTTGCTCCGAGAAAGAGTGTGCTGTGGTGGCACCATTGCCCTTGCCCTTATTCTCTCCTCCACTTCTGCTGCTAGACTAATTCGACCTTTGCGACCCGTTGACTGTTCTGGCAGGATGCTTGGAGGCGGTGCCAGACCCCGGCCAGCATCAACCTTGGAGAGCTGGGGGAGGAGGAGTGGGAAGTCATTCGCGACACCGAGGATGAGCAGGCAAGACGTCTTTGAATGGGCCACGGGGGTATCCCCAGTGGTCGGTGCGGCAGGGTTTTGTTGCGTAGAGACAAGGAAAATAGCATCGATACGTTCGTAGAATTTGGCTTGTTCTTGCCCTCTCCAAGAACAGTGTTCGCTGATGTGAGTTCGCGTTCTCGTTCACGCTTTCTGTGGCATCGTCGCCGACCCCCTGTCCACAACCAGCGTCATCACACCGAACTCGCGGGGTCACGCACGTTTACAACCTTAACGAGCCACTTACGAAACGAAACTGCCGTCTTCTTTAATATTGTTAAAATTTCGCGGGCAATAAACTAGTATTCCTAAACGTTTACCACCACGCCGGTCACCGAAAACGCCTCCATTTTTTCCGTCTCGACAGCACCGGGCCGGCCACTTCCGCGTCCTCTACCCCACGGCAGAGAACGTGACCCGCCTGTGGCCAATATTCCGGAGCCCCCGCTTCCTAAATGGCGTGCTCGCCCGCTGGGTCTTGACCGGAGGCCTCACGAACCCCACGAACCGCCAGGACATCGGACTGATCGCTGAGCGCCTGGCCACCCTAGGCAAGTCCCAAGGAGGGAAAGCCTTGAGTAGTACCAGCGGCGGCATGATCGCCGGCGGCGGCAGCAAGGGCCCCAAGGGGAAGGGCCGCGGCTTGTGGGAAGAGACCACTTCCAACGCGACAACAGTCGTGACTACGAGGGGGGGCGGCGGCGCGAGGCTAGGCGATGAGCTCCCGGGGGCGTCGCCTTGGTCGGGGTCGGGCGGCGAGCGGCCGGCATCGTCGGCGACCTCGCGAGCGTCTCGGCCTTCCGCGGCCCGGCGTCCGCCATGTAGAGCCTCCGCAGCGGTGGTGCCGTCGACGGCGACGACAGCGAAGGTGGCGGCGGCAGCGGCGGCGGCAGCGGCGGGGAGGGGTACACAGCAGCAGCTGCACCGGCAGCAGCATGGCAGTAGTCAGCATCTCTCGTCGGAGGGACGAGGTGGCGGCGGCCGCGGCGCGGTGGCGGGTCACAACGTTGTCGGTGGCGCGGAAAGACCGTCTCGAGTGGTGCCTCGGCTGCAGCTGCGCCGCGCCGAGACCAGGCTCGCACTCGCGCCTTCCTTGCTCACCTTGCGCACGCCCGTCGTGCTGTCGTCGTCGTCGAGAAGGGGTGGAGGAGCCGCCACCCCGAGCGGTAGCGGCAGCCGGGAAGGGGGGTCGGACGTCGCCCCGAGAAGAAGGGCTTCCTCGGCGTCAAGCTCCCGGCCGCCGTCCACCCACCGGCTGGATGGAAGTGGCAACAGTCGGGGAGGGAACCCCAGCGACAGCGGCGGCGGCAGCGGCGCGCCGCCGTCCGTCGTGTCGTTAGAAGTCAAGCCGCTCGGCTTCACCAGCGCGCTCAGCACCGGCGAGAAGTGGGGGCCCCAGGTTGCCGCCTTCCCGGCGCCGTTGCTGTGCTTGCCGGGAGCGGCGGAGGTTGTGAAGAAAACCAATGCAACACCGAGGAGACGGAGCCTGCAGCAGCACCAGGATCACGAGCAGGTGTTCGCAAAATCGAATAGTAGAGTCCCGGCCCTGCCCGACGGTTGCGGCGGCGGCGGCGGCGGCGGCGGCGCCACCGCCGTGAGCCCGCGCGGGGTTAGGCAGGCGGTGACCGGGAGAAACAGCAACGATCAGATATGCTTCCCGCGACCCCCGTGCCGGGCCGCCGGCCGCGCCGAGGAGGTGGCGACGGCGGTGAGTGGTAACGGGGACGATCCATTCGCGACAGGCCTAATGCCGTTCCGTTATGCTGGTGCTACGTTGTCGACGGACGGTCCGGCGTCGTTTCGGTCCTTCTCGGGAGCGTCTCTCCGGTGTCACGCTGTCGCGCTCGCCGATTGGCGCCAGCAGGGCGCGAGCAGCAGGATCGTCGATAGCATGGCGAGCGTTAGCAACGGCGGCGCGCCGCCCTCGGACGCGGAGCCGGCGAGAGGCGGAGGGGCTCGCGAGAGCACGAAGGCGGAAGCATTGGCGACAAGGGAAGAGCTTTTTCTCGGCGCGGCTGCGGCGAGCGGGCGTGGCCGCAACGTCGCAGATTGCGTCCGGCCTTGAGGCAGGGCCGAAAGACAACAGGGAGAAAGCGTGGTTCGCGTCCCGGGGGTGCCGTGTTGTGGGCTTTTTGATAGTGGTAGGGGAGGGGGGTGGGCTTCGTCCAGCCCGTGTTTGATGCCTCCTCGCGGCGGTTGAAGGTGATGCCCACTGCGGAGGGCTGAGCGTGCGCTGTTGACGGGGTGCCAGGATACCGTGCGAGTACTTTCGAAATCCGAAAGGGACAAGAGAGAAAGAGGTCTCCTCCTCGCTTGCTTGGTCTCTGAAGCTTCTGACGATGTGATCTTTCGCCGCCGTAGTTCCCGCGAATAACTCTTGCCTGGTCCTCCCCTTGTCAACAGTGGCGGCGGCCATGGTGGGGGATGGCAGAGCTTGGTGGTGGGGTCGGTGCGCACGGGAGGGAGGGATGCAGAACGGGGTTCGAAGGGAGGGAAGGGTATGAGGACCGGGTTTCCATCGTTCAGTTGTTTGTGAGGTAAAAAATGAAAGAGTTCATCCCTCGTGACGCTACATCCCCATGTGTACCGTAGACATCAGCATATCAGAGCCTGATAGAAAAGAAACTAAAAAATTGAGATGGAGAGTGACAAGTAGGCGTCGCAACAAACAATAGTTCAGGGATCCTCGGTTGTACGCTTGTTGCTTTGGGCCTGTCCACCACATATCTTGTGGAATGAAGAAATCCCCCGCAGCTTTATGTGGCACCACATGCATTTTCGTAGGATGGAATGAAACGGGCCCCGTGAACGTATATGTGTGCCCGACGGGAAATGTCCTCTTGCAGTTGTAGCGATAGATAGCGCTGTGCTCTAAGTCGCGGGTAACCCGACGACCGTGAGACTTCTCCAGTGCAGTTCCACAATAATGAATCAGTTCTTGTTCCCCGTTGCTTGAGCGACCTTCGGCAGCAATACACCCAGTGACACACTTCGATTTCATTGGGGGTCAGGGCTGAAGGTATTCGCGTTGTCTTCAAAATCAGTGACTGATCGATTTGCGGAAGGCTGTTCAAGCTGCTGGACTGTCAAAGAGTGAGTTCGAGGTGGTCGTGCGAGGAAGAGCATTTCTACTAAAAGTCTTTCAGGTGTGATGCGCAGAAAATTGCTGCCATTCCCATTCTGGATCGTAATACGGTGGCCATGTTGAGCCGAAACTGGGCCGCGTTTCGAGGAATCTCCAGTTTGAATTTCGATTCCGATGTGGTAGAGCACTTTGAGCGGGCGGCACATGAGTTCGACGAATGAAATGAACGTTTGAATTTACCTATAACGAGCACAAGACATTGTCGAAACAAGAATATTTATTAAGTGAGGAGGGTGCGAGCTGAGATCTTCAATATTTAACAGCCGAACTTGGTGGGCGATGTTTCGTTCAAAACCTCGATTTAGAAGAGCAAGTCCTAAGTATAGGCCCGATTCCCTTGTGCCCGTTACCATTTTTCATATTGTATTTGTATCGATTGGAGAATCCGCAACACCCTACCTTCCGTTCACGCCGAAACCACGGTTTCCTGGCCATCAAAACGAGAACCAAGTTCGTCTCAGAACAAAATGTCTGTTGCTTTCGAAAGAAACGTTCCATGTCACCAAACGGCGGGCTAGCCACTCCCCAGCGAATATGTTCATTTACCTGGTAGGTCACTCCGCAGAACACGGCTCTAATACCGTCGGTAGGTACGCACAGCGCCACGAATCCTCCTTGTTCCGGCCGTGCGGCCGTGTGAATTTTTGTGAACAGTGTTTTCGCCGACGATCGTTCCTTTTCATGGATATGTTTCGCGTGCATGCGGCATGTAGTATACTTCGTATAAACTAATCGTTAAGACGACATTTACCATGTACCACTTGAGCACATAAGCTATCACTCCATGCCTCATAGGCCATTGTTTCCCATCCGTTTTCACCATCAAAATGAGTTGATCCATGCGCTCATTTCACTGCTGGGGGTGTGACCTAGACGAACGCATTTTTCACTCCAACTCGTCTCAGCTTCAGCGCCCCGTCTTCATATTCTCCATAACGCACGTGCTATGCCACTCACCACGTACGGAATGATTCTGCTCCCTTTTACCTGCAGAAGCTTGAGGTTGCGCATGGGGGCTATGCTAGCCGAGGACCTCCCACGATGGCGACAGGAACACGTTGTTTTATGATTCACTGAATTTGAACACGCTGAACATATTTACGAGCTATATGAGGGCCCCCAAAATTGGACCCCCAACGTCATTCGCGGCAAACACACACGAACCGGTTCTAGAGCGGATGTCAAATCCCAGTAACACAGACAACCTTCAGGGTCGCTCTTCACTGGGAAGGGACTTTAGAAGCGTGAGGAAATGTGTTTTCACTCCGTCCCGATGATCTCTAGTACAATTATACTCTGGCGACTAGCATACGTCTACGCTGTGACTGTTACAATGTTGGTCTACGATTTTGGGTGCAACCACACCACTGGGTTGGAATGAATTATGCCAAGATGTACAGCATATCCACTTTGCTACAAGTCGGCGCTGACTTGTAGTATAGTGGATATGCTGTACATCTTGACAAAAGTACAACCGGGGTCCTTCAGCATGAGACCTTGTAGCTTGACGGGTAGTTGCTGTTCTTTGTCGTCTTTGATGGCCACCTATACCAATTGGACGTGGTAGCTGCATTCCTGAACGCGTACACCGACAGAGACTTCTACGTCAGGCCGGCGCCAGGCGGCGAGGAGAGGGATCCCACGACAGGTGAAATGATGGTCTACAAACTGGAGAAATGTCTGTACGGCGTGTCACAGTCCCCGTCACTGTGGAACGACGCCATNTGGACGTGGTAGCTGCATTCCTGAACGCGTACACCGACAGAGACGTCTACGTCAGGCCGGCGCCAGGCGACGAGGAGAGGGACCCTACGACAGGTGAAATGATGGTTCACAAACTGGAGAAAAGTCTGTACGGCCTGTCGCAGTCCCCGTCACTGTGGAACGACGCCATCAATGACAGACTCATCATCTTCGGCTGGCAGCGCACTCACTCTGACCCCTGTGTCTACATCTTCGTTAGCGGGGACGAATGTTTGCTGCCTACGCCACTTATTTATCGGGTGAGACTGTTTTGGTGATGTA